GAACTAGAACCCTATCACCTGGTTTGAAGACCCGTAGCCTTGCGTTCCGGTTATAGCTTGCTTGTTGGGCTCTCTGGGCCTTTTCCATGTTTTCCCTAACTATGGGAATTACCGCTTCGATCCGCTCTTGCATTTGCGCTACATGCTCTATAAGACTGTGATGGGGGTATGCTCTTGTTCCCATGTTTCCTTGGCAACATCCAGTATGCCTCTTGGATGCCTACCATACATTAACTCGAAAGGTGAGAACCCTGTGGAAGCTTGCGGGACTTCTCTAATAGAAAACATCAGGTAGGGTATGAGATAATCCCAATTTTTTCCATCCTTGTCTATCACCTTCCGCAGCATAGCCTTTAGAGTTTTATTAAACCTCTCCACTAATCCATCAGTTTGCGGATGGTATACCGAGGTTTTCAGCTGCTTGATTCTGAGCAATTTGCACAAATCACGCATGATTTTTGACATAAAAGGGGTTCCCTGATCTGTGAGAATTTCCTTAGGTATACCCATCCTGCTAAACATCATCAGTAACTCCCTTGCAACATTTTTAGAGGTGGCATTCCGTAGAGGTACTGCCTCTGGATACCGTGTTGCATAATCCACAACGACTAAAATGTACTGATGTCCTCTTGCGGACCTAGGCAACGGCCCTATCAGGTCCATTGCTATTCTTTCGAATGGAACCTCTATGATGGGAAGGGGTACCAATGGACTACGGAAGCCCTTATGCGGAGCTTTCAGTTGGCATTCTGGGCAGGATTTACAAAACCTCTCTATTGCCGAAAATACCCCTGGCCAATAGAATCGGGTCAGAATTCGTTCCCTCGTTTTTTCAAAACCAAGGTGCCCACCTAACACATGGCTATGGGCTAGTTTTAAAACAGTGTTTCGGTGAGATTGGGGAACTAACAACTGTTCTGCCTCCTCTTCCCCCTTTTTCTCTACTCGATACAGCAGATTATTTTTCACCATGAAATAAGGAAAGCTCAAGGGCTTGTCAGGGTCCGCCCTTGTACCCTCCACTATTTGCACATTCTCTCTTGCAGCTGTCAAGGACTTATCTTCCCATTGGGCTGCTCGGAAGTTACCAGGGGGGACTCTGAGATCCTGAAACTCCACTTCTTCTATAGGGTCTTCAGTATGGGGAGGTTCTACCTCATTACCCAGGCACACCAAGGGTGTCTCTTGCTCGTCACATTCTAAATCGGAGAAAGGAAAAATATTTTCTATACACTCTATCCCGGGTAGCTCCTCAGAGCGCATTTTTGGATGAGCAGAGCACTTTTCCCATAGGCGGCAGAAATGGGGAAAGTCCCTCCCTAATACCACATCATACGGTAATAGGGGCACTACCCCTACAGAGCATTTAACCTCCCCTACCTTGGTGCCAAACTCAACCTCTGCAGTGGGGTATGTGTGGGTGTCACCATGTATACACACAATATCAATCACTTGTTTGGTGTCTAATTTCCCTGGCTGGAGCAGAAAACTTTTTATCAAGGTAACCTCACTCCCTGAATCAATTAGAGCTTGTACATTCTTTCCTTCCACCCTCACCATTATTAAATGTGTTGCATTAATAGCACTAGTCACCACACACATCTTTGAGCAAGTCAATACAGTCCTATGCAGAGCCCTTGTCCCTACATCACACTGCATGGGCTCTTCATTCTCTGGACAGCTGCGTGCAAAGTGTCCAAGCTCATGGCATTTAAAGCACCGGAGTTGTCCCTCAGCGTGGTCTTGTAGCCGTAATGGAGCTGGTGGGGACCTTCTGCCACCCCGGTCACATGGTTCAAGGTTCGGTATAAAGTTTTGTCTTTTGTTTCCCACTTTCCCGCTTATCCGGTTGTTAGCCGGTCGGGACTTCTGATGAGGATCAATACTGTATGGCTCCTTGGCAACCAAATACCTCTCAATCAGGCACATCATTGCTTCTGGATCCTGAGGGTCCCCTTGGCAGACCCATTGTCGCAGTCCTGTTGGCAGGTGTCTGAGAAAACGGTCCATCACAACCATTTCCACTATCTTGGTAGCAGGGTTGCGCTCTGGCTCCAGCCACTTCTGAGCGAGCCTGAGCAATCCATACATCTGGGCTCTGGTAGGTTTACTCACATCGTATGCCCAATTATGAAATCTGTGGGCTCGAATGGCTGGTGTTACGCCAATGCGCTTTAGAATTTCAGCTTTAAGTTGCTTGTAATCCTGGATCTGGTCAGAAGGTAGGTCTTCATAGGCTTTTTGGCACTCCCCACTCAGGCATGGAGCTAGAAGCCCCGCCCATTGGCCCAGTGGCCATCTTTCCCGGGCAGCAACCCTCTCGAAAGTGGTGAGATAAGCCTCCACATCATCTGTCTCTGTCATCTTATGCAGGAAGTCTGTGGCACGGATACGGGATCCCCTTTCACCAGGGGGGCTCCCTGCAGATGGCAATATCACTCTCTGCAACACCTCAGTAAGGGCAGCTCTATCCATCTGCTGGGCTTCCTTCAGGTTCTCAACCTGGTTAACCAGTAGACGATTTGTTTCCTGTTGTACAGCGGTTGCCTGTACCAGAGCTTTCACCAGCTCCTCCATTATAGCACCAAGCAGGTAACAGTCTTAAAGGTACGGTGCTACTTGTTTGCTTATCAGGTCTGCAAAGATAAAAGTCCTCAAGCAGACTACCAAATGACTGGCACACCCACAGACCCTCACTGTGCTACTATGCCCGCATTCTCCACCATATTGTGATCCTTGTTTGCAGGTAGCACGGTCCTCTAGGGCAAAAACATGCACAGTCCTTGTAGTTGCAAACACTCCAGGCACTTTATTTGTAAGTTCACACAGGATACAGCAGTTAAATGAAAACAACAGTAACAGAAAACCCTATAAACAAAAACCTGGCTCGTCTGAGCACTAACTGACATTAGGTCCCCTATCTCTCAGGGTTAAACTAAACAAAACAATGTGGTTTCACCAACCTAGAGTCTTTGTCCACTCTCAGCACTCCAGTATTTAGCCAGCCTGCTACTTCCAGCCTTTCAGAGAGAAAAAGAACATTCTCTCTTACCTGCCTAGCAGGGAGGGATTTTATTCCCACTTGCTGCAGCCGATTACCTACAGCTGAGCAGTAGGTTGGAGACAGTCCAAAACCCTGGGCTGGATCTAAGTCTTCCAAGAAAACCGCTAAGCTGCGGAGTGGAGCACTGGCCCACCCTGCTCTCCAAATGCTCCACCCCAGGGGCCCATAACTAAACAATGCTTTGTGTAACACACACAAACTACACATACTCCCCCTGGGGTTAAAAATCATATGCCTCTCTGAACAATTCTGTCGAGATATAGACTCCCTCACAGACCACCCCATTCACCTTATCACATAAGGGACAGAATTGGAGTCAAAAGTGCAGAAAATAACGGGACCAAAAATGGGGGTGGGGGGGGTTATTAATAAAAATGGTTATAGACTTTAAATACATATGTTATTTTATTCAATTCTGGTATATTACATCTATTCGATGCACCCAAATCCTGGCACAAGGTTTCTGGAGTTTTGCAGGCCCAGGAACATTTTTTTTTTGTTTATAATTTATTTATAGATTTTTCTTCTTGAATCCATAATACAAACATACAAACATACATATGGGTTCGCCATATCATAAACAAATAAGACATGTACATTAACAAAGACATTAACATTGAGCGATAAGTTCGTACCAGTCCAACTTTAGTTATACCTTTTATCTCTTAATTACACAAAGAAAAAGACGATATAAGAGAGACGCAGAAAATATACCATAATTCCACTTAGTATAATTGGGCTTCAGGGGTCATTAGCACAAAAGAAAGATTTACCTTATTATGTTAATGATAATCAGTCATTTTTTCTATCCATTTTTTAAATATACTCTTTATTTTTATCTCTCTGATATGTCAATCCTTTCTCCATTTTCAACTGAAATAATACTTGTTCTTTTATCAAAAAAGAATTAGTCAAAATATCTTGTTTCCAATACCTAGCAACAAGAATTTTTGCTGCCATCGATATATGAATTGAAAGAAAAAGGAAACATTGATTAGCATTAATTAATTCAAAATGAATCAAAAATATTTCTTGGTTAAAGGGCAAATCTGCTTCTGCAATATATGGAATCTGCAAGTAAAAAATTTTCCAGTAAGTTTGGGTTAAATCACAATTCCACCAGATGTGTATAAAATTACCCCCTGCCTGCTTTACATCTCCAACATAAATAGAGGCGTTGGTATATATTTTGTTTTCTCAAATTAATTTATTTATGATTTCATATATTATTTTAACACATAATACAATACATTCAAAGTGGCATTATGACAATCAATGTATGCATAAATCACATACAGTCGTGAGCATGGTTCCCATACATAATAAATAACCGTACAGCCACGTCACTTAAACAAACAATCACTATGACAAACACTGTAACAGCGAGACCGATTACTACTTTAACTTGTATTATTCCCAATGTATGAGATGAAAAACACACCCTTTTTAGGGCTCAATATAAAGGACAGTAACCTCTTCTATTAGTTTTCTATAAATAGATGAAAATAATTAGCATAATTTTTTTTCCATCTCCAATTGATAAAACAATTGTTTTATGAATAATGCTTTTGTTGGAATAATTACTTGCTTCCAGTGTGGAGCAATTAATTTTTTTTTGCTGCCATTAGGCAATGGGTAATCAAAACATCATGTTTTTTTAACACCTACCTTACTATTTATGTTTAACAGAGCAGTTTCTGTTTTTTTAATCAACGGTCTTCTAATAATATCCTTTACAGTTTTAAATACTAAGTCCCGAGGGGGCCTGGCCGGGGCTTCGACGTACATGGCTGCCTAACAGCACAACTCCACGACATCACAACTAACAGCATACTGCACTACAAATCAGCACTAAACTGCACACATGTGACGCACCAAGAGGGTCGAACACCCTCAGACCCCCAGGAACACTTAATCGGGATCGCAATCGGGCCCAATGGACGATTACCTCCACACTCCGGCCGGGCCTGAACACGGGTCTCCAACTTTCAAAATGGCACCTACCTCGCCCTCCTCAACATGCTCCAGCGCCGACAACACCACACTAGCAGATATCAGAGCTGAACTTAAACGCATGTCGATGGTCACCAAAGATGACCTAAACCACCTATACTCCACGCTGCACGAAGCAATCAAAACGGAGGTAGCAGGCCTGAAGGTGGATGTTAAAGCACAGGAGGCCCGCATCCTAAACCTGGAACAGAAAGTGCAGACGACTGAAGATCACTCCGCGGCCACAGATACTGCCCTTAAATGCCAAGGAGCCTCATCCTGGCTATGAGAAGGCAACTGGAGGACCAGGACAACCGCAGTCGCTGCAACAATATCAGGGTGAGAGGAGTGCCCGAATCCCCGGATGGAGAAAATGTGGAGGAACTACTCACCCCCCTATTCCGCATGATCCTAAGAGAAGAAGCACCGGCCCGCATCAAATAGGATAGAGCGCAGAGAGCACTGCAGCCTCGACCCACGGAAGGGACACCCAGGGATCTAATCTGTTGCCTACACTCCTTCCCCCTGAAGGAATTAATCATGGCGAAAGCTAGACCCAGAGCTTACTGAAACTACAGGGGAGTGGAGATATCTCTCTACAATGATGTCTCGCCAATGACCCTAGAAGCCAGGAGGGCACTGAGGCCGATCACCACCATTCTACGGGAGAAAAATATGCCATATAAATGCGGTTACCCATTCAGCATCATGGTCCGCCACAACAATGAGTGGATCTCTGCCAGATGGCCCGAGGAGATACCCCAATTCCTACAACGCATGGATCTGGCACCGACACCCATCCCGAACTGGGTCCTACTGCCGCTGGAACCGAGACCTCAACCACAGCGACAGGCACGGTGGAGAAGATGGAACTCCTCTGGAGGTCCCCCACGGAGCCGCCATACGGATCTGACAAACCCTGAGGAGTTACTACCTTGCCAACAAGCACCCTGAGGCCAACGCCCGCGGGCCCCGCGCTCTCAATCCAGGTTGGGGAAGGAAGAAGGCTACACAGCTGACTACCGTTAAAGAGGTACTCTGACCCTGGGACTGATTGGTCTTAGTACAGGTTTGGGAGGGGGGCCCCCGAGCGCAGTCATGCACAGGAACTCACCCCCGGATAAAACGAACTAGGCGATGTTGCCTTGGAAGATGGGTCACCCCCACCAAAAAAAAAAACCATGGGAGTAGTAAAACAGGAGGGAGGGGGCGAGCCTGTGGATCACAACTCTATAGGGGATGTCCCTACTAAAAATGGTACTACGCCTCTTGGGCTTCACAGAAGCTATAACAAAATGGACCAAATCAATCTACAGCAACCCAACTGCAAAAGTACGAGTCAACGAAGCTCTGACAAAATCAATCCTGATTCGGAATGGCACGAGACAGGGATGTCCCTTATCCCTACTGCTGTTTGCTCTAACGCTGGAACCCTTACTAGAAGCGATCAGACGGAACATCAACATCATGGGATACAAATGGAAAAACAACACGCACAAGGTCGCCGCATACGCGGACGATATGTTATTTTTTATCACACAACTACGAATCACCCTGCCTTGCCTTATGAAGGAGTTCGAAGAATATGGGCACCTATCAGGCCTCAAACTTAATCTAAGTAAATGCGAACTCCTCAATATCAATGACCCGATGGGAGAATATAGAGCTATAACGTCCACCTTTCCCTTCCGATGGTGTTAGTCCAAAATGAAATACCTGGGGATATGGGTGACAAAGGACCCAAATACTCTTTATCAGATAAACTTCATCCCACTCCTCACCCGAATTCAGCAAGACTTGAACTGGAATTATCCACACATCTCCTGGTTAGGCCGCATAGCGGTGATTAAAATGAATATACTGCCCAGACTACTGTACCTGTTCCACACAATCCCATTATAGCTACCGACTGTGTTCTTCGTCTCTCTGAAAACAGCATTTCTGACCTACGTGTGGAGGGGTTTGTGGAATACGAGAAAAACGACGTTGGACGAACCAAACTAACTCTCCCCAGCGAACCAAACCCTTCAGACATGGTCTAATTTGAGGAAAACAACTGCCATATCTCCGGCGCCTAGCCCGATGATCCCTCTGACGGATAACCAACTACTGGGGGGTGGACTACCACCCAGGGCCTGGGACTTCCTGAGAGGAGTTGACTTTATCTCACTACACAAAGCAATGGACTCAATCGGACTGATACCCTTAGAACAGCTCGTGGGGGACACGCCGACATCTATGCAATTGTACAGATACTCACAACTGAAATACTTCTACTGCATAATACCGGACAGAGCCACAGTTCATAGAACCCTCATGTGGTTCGAAGAGATATGTGACAAAAAAACGACCATTCTGAAGCCAACCTAGGCCCTATACCAATACTTGCTCACAGACACCCAAACAGCAACCCTTACATACAAACGAAAATGGGAAAGACTGACAGACAGGACATTCACGGACACACAATGGGACAAAATTCTGGTTCTTCACCACAAATCCTCAATCAGCTCGTATTACCAGGAAATGAACTATAAATTACTGTCATTCTGGTACAGAACCCTGGACCTTCTCCACAAAATATTCCCTAACACCCCAGCGAGATGTTGGAAATGCAAGAACAACGCCGGAACCGAGAAATACATCTGGTAGGAGTGCACCAGAATCCAACCGTTCTGGAACCAGATCATCTCTCGTATCAAAGACATCCTAGGAGATACAATGCAGTTCTCAATGGAGAACATACTTCTCCACCATACCCAAGAACCAATTTCAACATACAAACGATCTATCCTCTGACACCCTGATGGACACACTCACAAAACATGTAACCAGATGGCAACCCTGGATAATGTATATGGCGGAACAGGGCTTGGGGGCGCGGATGGCAGGGCCCGGGACTGAGGGAGAGCACCCAACCCCCCCTTCCCTCCCCGCGCACCCTTTCCTGCCCCATCCTACTTTTTCTCCCCCAAATTCCCACACACACTTCTCAACAACATCTTTATACTGCCATAATACAAAATACATCCTTGACCCCTCACAAACAATTTCTTAATAAGGCAAGGAAGGATGCTGACAGAAGGGAGGACACCCACCTCCAGGATAAACACTACACTAGGAGACAGCAGATGAGAAAGGGACCCTGGCAAATCTAAGGAATGAGATCCGAAACTTGGCAACTCGGACAACTGAGAAATAGACACAATTTCGAAAATACCCATACCCAACCGTTATAGGAATACACCCCATGACACGTGAACAACACAAGACAATGGGAAGACGATTAGACTGTACACTCCATGCACATACTCTCTCAAACACACATAATGCATACATGATCAAGCTCGCTTAGACCTACGGATAACACAAGCTATGAGGTAAGAACAGCTAACAAAAGCACACACACACAATAGGGCAGAGCAGTGAACCTCACATGGAACGACAACACGTGCATAATGGGTTACCCTATCTCGCAATGTAGCGAAGTGGTATAAATGACCAAAGTGTAATGTAATGTGAAAACTTACCTGCGTGTCCACCTCAGGCAACATCAAAATCATGACAGCAATGGCCCACATAGGAGACTATCCCAGTTCTACCAAATGTAGGGAGTCTGGGTGAACTTAAATACAAATAATAAACATATATTGATTTGTGAGTGTGTGTGAGAGAATGTGTATGTGTCTGTCAGTGAATGTGTGTTTGTCAGTGTGTTTCAAATTAGTGTGTTTCAAATTGTGTGTGTCAGTAAGTGTGTTTGTTAATGTGTGTCAAATCAGTGAGTGTGTTTGTCAGTGTGTGTGTGTGTGTCAGTTAAATTAGTGTCAGTAAATATGTCTGTCAGTTAGTGTGTCCTCTATATGTAAGTGTGTCAGTGTTCCTCTCTGTGTAACCGTGTGTGGGTGTCAGTGTCCTCTGTGTGTGGGTGTCAGTGTCCTCTGTGTGTAAATGTGTGTGTGTGTATTATATTTTCATTTTCTGACTTTTATTCTTCAGATTAATAAATCATACACTGCTCCTTACATACACAATACTTACATTACTTTATAGTTATTTTAAAATATTCAATACAATCGGGCTGCTTGTTCTCCAGTATAGGATTAACTTAAATATCAGTGTGTACACATTTCATTTGAAATTACTTTCTTGAGGCAGGGGTACTTTATTTACTCCATAACACGGATTTACATGATTACCTCGATCCCAGGACTAGAGAATCTGTAACACCCTAGTTGCTGTTTATTATTTAATTCCAACCTAAGACTGGTAAAGCAAGGTATTTAGGTGCAGGCAGGGGTCAAGTCCTGGGGAAAAAAGTGTGGGAACTCACCCAAGATTCCCGCCTCCCCCCCTTAAAAAAAAAAAATTACACTCCTATGCATATAGTGCAGTGCAGGGTGTGTATAATGAATGTAGTGTGTTTGTAGAGAATGCAGAGTATGAATAATAAATGTAGTGTGTTTGTACTGAGTGCAGTGTGAATAATAATTGTAGTGCATTTGTAGTGAGTGCAGAGTGTGTATAATGAATGCAGTGTGTTTTAGTGAGTGCAGAGTGTGTATAATGAATGTAGTGTATTTGTAGTGAATGCAGTGTGTATAATAAATGTAGTGTGTTTGTAGTGAGTGCACTGTGTATAATAAATGTAGTGTGTATAGTGAATGCAATGTGTATAGTGAATGTAGAGTTTTTGTAGTGAGTGCAGAGTGTGTATAATGAATGTAGTGTGTTTGTAGTAAGTGCAAATTGTGTATAATGAATTTAGTGTGTTTGTAGTGAGTGCAGAGTGTGTACAATGAATGCAGTGTATGTAGTGTGTTTGTAGTGAATGCAGAGTGTGTATAGTGAATGCAGAATGTGTGTAGTGTGTATAGTGAATGCAGAGGGTGTATAGTGAATGCAGTGTGTTTGTAGTGAGTGTATAGTGAATGTAGTGTGTTTGTAGTGAGTGAAGAGTGTATATGAATGGTGTGGGAAGTGCAGTTGGATGATGTGTGTGTGTGCTGGATGATGTGTGTGTGTGAGTGCTGGATGATGTGTGTGTGAGTGCTGGATGATGTGTGTGTGTGTGCTGGATGATGTGTGTGTGTGATGTGTGTGTGTGCTGATGATGTGTGTGTGAGTGCTGGATGATGTGTGTGTGCGTGATGGATGATGGTGTGTGTGAGTGCTGTGATGATGTGTGTGTGAGTGCTGGATGATGTGTGTGAGTGCTGGATGATGTGTGTGAGTGCTGGATGATGTGTGTGGATGATGTGTGTGTGAGTGCTGGATGTGTGTGTGTGA